TAAATAAATAATAAATAAATGGCAGTTGAACCTATGTCTGTCTACTACCAAAGTGCTGCTCTTGTTTGTATTTTTGTTACTTGTTTGTTGAGGCTACCTAAAACCGTCCAAACAAATGTATTCATTGGACAAATATTGAAGGATTCCCATTCTATGCTCTGTATCCTGCTAGGAGAAAAAAGAAGACTAGAAAACTTGTGACACCAAAATAAGTACATTTTGGGGGGATGCACAAAAGTCTAGAAGATAGGGCTAAGGATACTATGGTAAAGATTAAATATCTTGACACTTAAAAACATTAATGAATAATAGATCTTAAATTCTTAGATTGGAGACTAAATAGAAGAGTTTGTTTTACATATGTATGTACTGTGTGATCTGTCCTTCACCACAAACTTATGGTCATAAAAAGAAAATTTCAAATATAAAAACCCACATGGTTCATGTATTTCTTTAGTCTTTAGCTTAGGGTCTATCAAGACAGGACAGTTATCCATGAATTCAAATAGTGTGTTTTATGGAGATACAGTAACAAATTCATAAAAATTTGTTGCATGTGTCCAACTTGTAGGAACAGAAGGTTGTGAATAAATGCAAGACCTTAAAACGGCTGTTTATAAACAGAACTATGATATCTGTCAGGTGACCAGAATAGAAATGCGGTGTGGATTAACCTAAAACAAGGCACTTTGTGTCAAATACATATGACTGATTGTAACCAAACTGTGGGGTGAGGAAAAAGGGGACACAATCTTATGAGAAAAAAATGTATAAACAAAGGAAGAGAGGAACCCTGGCTGTCAAAAGCAACATCCTGGTTTCTGTGAGTTCAGTGTACTCCAAACATTACTTTTAATCATTTTCTGTTATTTCTTCTGATTATTATTTTCTTTGGTGGCCTTCACAACTGAATATCTGAAATTGTATTTTTAATTATAGATGGACTCTTTCTGCTATTAGTTTATCTTCTATGTTATCATATTATGCAATATTGATTTTTCAACATGAGACGATAACCCTGCTCAAAGAGGAAAGCCCCTTCAAGTCCATTGGACTCAGAAATTATCTGGGTAAAAGGTTATTACAATTTAGAAGTAAGGTATGTGCTTTAAAATTATTAGGAATGATGCCTTAAGGGAGTTTACACAGATTACTGATTAACTTTACATGGAGTGACCACTCCCCATTATTATTAAAACTGTTGAAAGGCCTGAGAAGAGAAATGTCAGCACACAGGCCTGGATAATTTAGAGCTGCTTCTATTTACCATTCACACTTCACTCAAACTGTCTCGAGAGAAACAAAACAATATTACCGCGGATGTTAGGCCACATAACCTTAAGTCTGGGAATACCTTGGAATCAGAAATAGGTCCTATCCATTGACCAGCCCTGGTTCTGTGTACTGATATTGTTACCCAACTTTCCCATTTCAGAGGGAAAGATGGCCACAGACTCTGCAAGCTTACAGTCCTTTGGCGTAGCAATTCATTGTGGAAAGGGCATGTCTTGTTCCTACGAGTGAGAGCAAAACACAGTTCTTCCACTTTGAAACTTCAATGTCAACTTAAATGATGGGGCTGGGCCAAACCACATGGGCAAAAATGATGGAAAACTCACTTCCCAAAGACGATCACGGACACAAGTAGAGAAAGAGTAGTGGTGGCTAGACCAGCAATTCTACAGTCCTTTGCTGAACCAGCTTTTTCTTTATTGCGATTTCAGCAATATCAGTCAATTATTCATTGTTTGTTTACTAACACAATCCATATTCTAAGCAGTACCCATTTTACTAATGCACAGAAATGAAGAAATTTTCTTCCTCTTCATGGAAATTGTCTGCTA